AGAAGAGGAACAGATAGGATACCCCTCTCTTTCTGCCAGGTGAGACTATAGCAAAAAGGTAATTACCTAGAAGCCAGGAAAAGGGTCCTCCCCATGGAAGAAAGTCCAACCACATTAGCACCCTAATCTTGGACTTCCAGCCTCCAGAACTATGAGAAATAAATGTTTTTCTGAAGCCACCTTGCCTATAGTATTTTGGAATGGCAACCCAAGTTAGCAGAGATAAGAGCATACAGTCATTCCTTGGTATTCAAGGGGTCTGATGCCAGGACCCTCAACCCCATGGATACAAAAATACAAGGCATTATATTTGCACATAACCTATGCACATCCTCTTATATACTTTAAATATCTCAAGGGCTGGGATATTGCTCAGTGGTAAAACATATGCTTAGCATGCGTGAGGTCCTGGATTCAATCCCCAAACCCCCACATCCACCAAAAAAAAAAATCACCTCTGCATTACTTACAACAAAATGTATGTGACATAAATGATTGTTATACTATATCATTTAGGAAATTATGACAAGAAAAAAAGTTTCTGTGTGTCCCATACAGATGCAACTATCATAGACCTACCTACACAGTACACAAATAAGATGCAGTGCTCACACAAATACTGGAGACAGGACCTGTGGTGTCCAGCAGATATGCTGACACATCGGTTCATCCACATGGATTTAGCGTAGTGTTCAGCATACAGCCAGTTCAAGTTTTGCTCTTAAGACATTTCTCACATTTTTCCCCCAAATATGTTCAGTCTACAGTTGGCTGAATTGTGAATGCAGAAAACCTGAATGTGGAAGGCTGATTATATACTTTCAATTCACTCTAATCTGACTTCAGCTGTGGCCATCACTTCAGTGAGTGAACTGAGCAGTGTCCACCCTGTCTTGAAAACAAATAGCCATTTTCAATCACCTTCTTAATCTCTGTGTGGCACTCAGTCCAATTGTCCCCTCCTTCAGAGATCTTTTCCTTGAATTCCTGACACAACTCTCTCACTGTATCCTTCTTACCTCTCCAGCTGTTCCTCCTGTGCCAGCTCATGATCAGCTGGTATTCTTCAGGGATCCAGCTTGAACACTCTATTCACTCTTTTCCAAGGTAATCATACCACTTATATTGCTTCAGTTACCACTCATCTCAGTAACTTCGAAACTTACATCTCTAGCCACCAAAGAACTCCAGACTTAAGCTGCCAACTACCAATTCAACCTCTCTCCTTCAATGTCTCACTGACTCCACAAATTCAATTCAACATTTCCTAAAAGGAATGAATGATGATTTTTCCCCTCCAAAACAATACATTCTCCTTTCTTAGAGTTTCCCATCTTAATAAATGATACCATTTACTGGTCATCAAAACCAATATACCAGGGAATTATCTGTCAATTTTTCTTTTCTCGCCCTTTAGTTAAAATTTTTTTAAAAGTTCCTATCATTTATGTGTCCACTACAGCTTAATCAAAGTTTTTAAATAAATAAAAGTTACTGATATTTTTGCTCATAAATACTTACTGAATTAATCCATTTCACACCTTTGTCTCTTGTCTGGCTACTACAGTAACATCCTTGCTGGGCTTTTAAGCACCATCACTGTTGGGGGCCTTCTTTGGTTTCCCTACTCTCACAACACAGTGCTGCCTGTTGGCAGGTCCTACAATGACCATAATCTACTGACTAATTACATAATTCCACCTTCATTGTCTGCTTGTCCTCAGAACCACACACTTCATCAGGGAAGGGCCCTAGATGTTTCATTACCTCTTTTGGTCTAGGATCCTACTCCTGTACATGAACCTCTGTTCTCCTGTGCCCACTATTAAGAATGAGCACACTTTCTACTTTTCCAATTTATCTAAGTCCCTTACACCCTCTGTGGCCCGAAACCTGAATTGGTTTCTCTCTTTGTTCTCCCCAGCACTGCTATCCCTAATATCCTGCCACTCACCACATACTGCCTTGCATCATGATGCACTGTCTGGATATGTCACATCTTCCACAGAGAATATAAGTTCTAAAGGATAGAAGGAATAAAATATATATAATCAGGTTTTCTAAACTGCCAGTGCTATAAAATATTTTTGTAAATATCTTGACATTGATTTCCTGTTCTCCAACACATCTAGCCTATTAAGGGCATGTTAAACTGCACTGAAGTTTCCAACCAAAAAAAAAATATTTTTTTTGGCAGTGGGTACTAGGGCTCAATCCTAAGGCCTCACACATGCTAGGCAAAGCTCTACCACTGAGCTACACCCCTAGCTCTTTTTTTTAATTTATTTGTTTATTTGGCGGGGCACCCAGGATTGAAGCCAGGGGCACTTAATTACCAAGCCACATTCCCAACCCTTTTTATATTTTATTTAGAGACAGGGTCTTGCTAAGTTGAGTAGGACCTCACTGAGGTGCTGAGGCTAGCTTTGAATTTGCAATTCTCCTGCCTCAGCTTCCCAGGCCGCTAGGATTACAGGCATGGCCACTGCACCCAGTCCCTAGCTTTTAAAATTTTGTTTTGAGACAGGGTCTCGTTAAATTACCAAGGCTGGCCTTGAACTTGTGATCTTCCCAGTCTATTGGCTGAGATTACAAGTGTATGCTACAACATTTGACTTCCAACTAAATTTTAAGATGTCTTTCTTTTTTTTTTAACATTTATTTTTTAGTTGTAAGTGCACACAGTACCTTTATTTTATTTTTAAGTAGTGCTGAGGATCAAACCCAGTGCCTCACGAATGCTAGGCAAGCACTCCACCTCTGAGCCACTACCCCAACCCAAGATGTCTTTCTTTTTTTTACTGATTCAAAACTATCAGCAGCTAAAAAGATTAAGCCATCTTTAATTTGTTAAAAGACTGGGGACCAGAAACATGTCCTTGCTGCCTCTTCACACAAAAGCTTCCTTCATTGTAAGATAAGGCATAGATCAAACACAAAAATCACTAAGATCAGCATTTAAATATATTTATAATATTTATAATCATGTTAACATGACAGTTATGATTATTTTCATTCTCTACTATTCCCACAGAAGAACACTGTGAAAACAGCTGGATTTTCAAATATTTGAATTTTAGCAAAATGCTTTTAATAAAAAAAAAAAAACTCCTGTCACAGACCACACACCACCAATAGAATCTATTACCTTCCCCATGATGCCCCGACTACCCCACACTTTCCCAGTTAATCTTTGTTCCCATTCCCTTTAAAATCTCTTGCTCTATGAATCTGCCCCATGAATTTCAATCTAACACCCTTTCTTGATTCCCCTTGGGAAATAATCCCATTCCCTCTAGACTTCCACTGCTCTTAGTCTGTACTTACTTCTTTTACAGCACTTACCAGACACTGGCTCATGTTACAGTCATGTGTGCACAAGTCAAACTCTTCCACTAGATTATTTGCTCCTTGATGACACATTGGTTGACTCAGTCATTTCTGTATTCTTCACAATCCCTGGCAGAGCATCCTGCACACAGTAAGTGCTCAATAAATTTTACTTTCTCATCAATGGTATGATCATCAATGGTCTCTATGTCACTTCTGTACATATTTCTTCCATGTGTATCAGCAGATTTACATCATCAAAACCCACCCAGAGGAAGGGTGGCTCTTGCCTGGAATCCCAGCAACTCACGAGGCTGAGGCAGAAGGATGGTGAGTTCAAACCCAGCCTCAACAACTTAGTGAGGCCCTCAGCAACACAAGGAGACCCTGCCTCTAATGAAATATAAAAAAGGTCTGGGGGTATGACTCCATAATTAAGATCCCTGGGTTCAATTCCTGATACCAAAAAAAGAAAAAGAAAAGAAAACCCACCCAGAAAGCATACCTTCTCCTATGCATGCACTGTCCCAGGCTCTGTGAACTCAAAGATGAGTAAGACACAGAATCAACAGGACTCAGAGAACTCATACAGTGTTTTTTAAAAATATAATATGCCCAGAACCACGAAAAAACAACAACAACAACAAACCAATATCAGGCTATAAACAAAAGAGGTATGTACAGGATCTTGGCAAACACAAAGGAGTGTGCTGAAGCTAGAAGTAGTCAACTGTACAATGTGTAACAACTGAATGCTTACTACCAAATCCTACTGGATGTTTCTATAGTCAAAAATCTAAAACTACTGACCATGAAATTAAAGTTCTGAGTGCAATCTTGAATTCCAAGTCAAAGAATTGGCTGCATCTGGAAAAGTAATTGTTTCTTGCATCTGCTTACTCCTAGGTTACTATTCGGAAGCAAGGAAACTGAGAGAGATGTTCTGAACAATTAATAAGTCCAGTAACGTCAATGCAAAAAGAGTTGCAAAGCGTGTTACATTCTTATTGGGAACCCCGGGTTCAATCTGCAGCCCATCCAGCTGATGCTTGTTACCAGTTTGCATCTCCCGCCAGGCTGGGAGCTGCACCAGACTTGCCTAAGATCAAGATCTCATTCCCCTTTGGAAACTCCGACGGCCCCAGGCCTGGACCACACGTGCACTCCACAAATGAATGAAAGCCATCCTTTTTCAATTCTATTTATCAATGAGACCCGGGCCTAGGGTCACTCTCTTGCCCTACCAGCAGATCTGGAGAAAGGCTGCCTGACCCCAACTCTCAGGCGCCTTTCATCCCCAGACCCGGACTCCAGCCCGATTTAAATCCCAACACTCGGAAACATTCCCTCTTCCACAACCCGCAAGGTGCCGCGATCACTTACAAAAGGGGAGCGAGGTCGCCGTCAGAGAAAACAACAGGCTAATAGTACAACCACCAAGACAGTGGCGCCGCCCGCGCCTCCGGAACAGGAAACCGAGGGAATTAAAAAGCAAACCTGCGAAACTGGGTCAAGGGAGGGAAATCTCTTGGGCACGCCGCAGCGCCTTGTGCGCACTGATTGGCCCATCAACGAGAGCGATGGACTTCTAAACCAATCGTCTATGTCGAGAGCTCTGTAGCCCGTCCCCCCGCCCTCTACGTGCTCCAATCCGGAAGCGCAACCGGGTGAGCGCGCATTTCCGTCGCGAGAGAGTGGCGGGGCAGCGACTCGGGAGTTCTCTGGTGCTCGCTGGGTTCCTCCGAATCTCTGGGACACAGAAGGGCGCGCAGATATGAGTGACTCTGCGGGAGAGCTCACTCGCCTCAGGTGCTACTCCGAGCTCCCAGTGTGGGTAGTGGAGGATCATCAGGAGGTGAGCGGGCGGCTGGGTCAGAATCTCCCAGAGCCCTGACGAGTCGGATTTCGAACCCAGGTGCCCTGACTCCAAGACCCCTTGCTCTCCATTCGATTGGCGCTGGTTTGCACCTGTCTCCCGCATCGCTTTCACAGCCCTGCTTGCTTGCTGTTTAAGCAGAAGGCTTTATACTAACAACACAGCTCTCATCCGTGACATGGGAACAATAATTATAGTACGCCCAGGGCCGATAGGAGTTTTCGTGCGTATTATATTCATGAATCTTTAACCACAGTGTCCAGCATTTATGAATGTTAAAAGATGTTTCCGTTTTTATGACCGTTCCCCTTT